GTCTTTCTCTTGCAATGGCCACTTATACTGTCTTCTTAATTCTTTTTCTTTCCCTCTTAGAGCAGTATTCTACCTCTCTTAAATTGAATGTTTAAACCTACCCTACTTTTAGTAGCTTCTAGGAGCTAAAGTAGGATCTCCAGAGATAAGCTAGTGTTAACTGGTACTCTGAGTGCTGTTTAGAATCATGGCATTTGAAGTTTAAAAAGAAGAGTCTAAATAAGTTCTGGATTTTAAAAGAAGAAAAAAAAAAGAAACAGAGCCAGCAGATTTTCTACTTAACTCTGGAAATGTTAAAAAAAAAAAAAAACAGGCATCCCCCCCCCTTGACAATCCCCTGGCCTCCCTTACCCACCAGTGTCATATGTCCATTGGTTATGCGTATATGCATGCATACAAGTCCTTCAGTTGATCTTTTTAAAAGAATAATTTTTAAAATCATTAATGGTATAATCAAATCTGACCTTGTTCAAGGCCTTGATTAAAATGGCCCTTTTAACCTGCTCATAAATCTTGTTCCAAAAGCCAGTCAAACTTTCTTACACTTTTATACTAGTACATATCAGGCGTTGAATACTTAAGCTTTTATGAACCATTTTATTAAGCATCCATGGGGAACTGTGAAGATGCTAGAGAAAAAGAGGGCGATGATTCAATGAGAAAAACAGTTGTTTGATTTATATTTTCTACATTTGCTTGATAATGTTTCCTGAATTGATGCAGGCTCATACCTGGACAAGTTTGTGTTATTTTCCCCCAGAACAAAATATGTCTAAATATCGCTATGCTTTAGACTTGTCTTTTTATAATTATTTTTCCATTCAAGGGTTGGAAAAATTTCAGAGATGAGAAAAAAATAGACTTAAAAAATAAAGACGCCATAGCTGGTTTGGCTCAGGGGATAGAGCGTGGTCCGCCTGTGGACTGAAGGGGCCCAGGTTCAGTTTTGGACAAGGGCACATGCCTGGGTTGCAGCTTCAATCCCAGTAGGGGGCGTGCAGGAGGCAGCCAATCAATGATTCTCATCATTGATGTTTCTAGCTCTTTCTCCCTCTCCTTTCCTCTCTGAAATCAGTAAAAATATATTCAAAAGAAAGAAATAAAGGCAATTTGTACATCACAGCCAAGAATAGCCTATTGGTTTGAAATATTCATACAACTAATATATAGAAACTGGTAGCTGTCTGCAATAATATTCACTTCCTTCTATGAAAATGACTCTCTCTGATATTTTATATAACATCATAGATTTAAAAATAAAATATATTTTAAACAATAGTTAACATATAAAGTAGTTATTTTTAAATATTATTTGATTTTTATAATGAGTTCATATATTTTAGTAATCTGTTAGTTAATCAGAAAAATTGAGACAGAGAAATGAAGTCTTTTCACAGAAAATCTCCCACTCTTGAAATTGATAAATGATTTATTTTTAAATGTTTTATTTGAAAAAAGTAAATAAAGTAGACTGTCATTGTGAGGAAGAGGCATTTTAGGATTGTTGAAATACTGTGACTCTTTTTCAGATTCTGGTACTCTTTTGTGGGAATTGATTATTATTGATTTTCCAAGTCATCAAGCACATCTTCCTTTGTGATTTTGGTCCAGGCATCTGGGATTTCACCTCTACCTATAAATTTTTTCTGGTATTTTTCTTCTAGGTTTGATCTGAAGTGACAGACAAACCATTTCCAGTATGGCTGCTTGTATGTGTCTGGGGTGATGCTCCATGTGGCATATTCCCCTCCTGCCTGTCGATAGGTCTTATATGGGGTTTTAAGATCACAATCCAAAATAAAATAACAATCACTTGTTACCAAACTAGTACAGTAGTCAATGACAAAGTGATCTGTGTTAACCCAACCGCCTCCTTTGATAGCCTGAGGACGGTGGAAGGGAACACTGTGGTCTCCGTCATGGTTAGGGATTGTGTTTGTACAGATTGCTCCACAGAAGGGACACTGTTTCCAGCAGCCACAGAGATGTTCAAAGAGCATTTTCTGGATTTCAAGAACCATGTCTTCTTCAGGCTTACTCAAACACTCCTGTTCTACTGTGATCATTGCAGGATCCAAAGCTTCACTCATGGCTTCTTTGAGAAACTCAATATCTTTAATCTCCTGGTGTTCAATGCTCACCAAGTCTTTTCGTGGAAAGTTCAGTTTACTCCCCAGGTGATCACAAAACAAATCCAACCACCCAGACACAGTGCTGCTTTTATCTTTAGCTCTTGCTGTGGATTCATCAATAGCTGAGAGGATGGAATTCTTGATGTCACCAACACTTATTTTTAAAAGGGTCT